TTGGATGATTTACACACTTCGTACTTTAACGAACTCCTCCTAGGGATTTGTCGACCGACTTCAAATTTGTGCGGTGCCTTCTAAAGGCATTGAAGATGAAAGTTGTGCTATTTGCGAGTTTTCGCAATGGGTGTGTCCCGTGGCGTGGCGTCAGAGATCAAGTCTTCGCCATGACACAGGAAGTTGTTGTAACTTCAGTGTACATGCTCACATCTGAACCAAACTTTACGTGCTTGATAATCTCCCACCCCGCATGGAGGAGGACCGATCCTGACACAGTCAGAAAAAATACAAATAAATAATGCTCAATAATAAATAAGCATCCAATTAAATACACAAAAAAATAAAGTAAATATAAATGTAGGTGTAATTAAATTATACAAGGAGACATAAATGTATATATTTTAATTAGTGCCTTTACTTATTCACCTTTTTATAATTACCTTATTTGTTTATTCAACTTTATTTATTACAATTTTTTTAATGTATTATTTATGTGTGTGTTTTAATATTTTGTCTGTTTTTATTCTTCCTTTGTATTTATTTACCTTATTTATTTTCACCCATGGTATTTATTTCTGCCTGTCTTTTTTAAATTTTGTATGCATTTCTGCCTCATTATGCAAATGAGGAGGGGCTGTGTCTCAAGGGGTCATCTTCTCTGCTATTGGTGGACCAGTCAGACAGGAGAGCTCCTACTCTGCCTGCAGACATCAACGATCTTGCCCCTCACACAGTCAGATGGCTTCCTTCAGTGCGCTGAGGTGTTTACAACTCTGAAGACAACGACAGCAATGTCTTCCTTCTCTTTTCACGTAGACGCTCGACAGACAGTGCTTTCAGTTTGCTGCATGCATGGACACAGAACTGCGGATAGGGAAGCACACGGTCAGCTGGCTGCAGCTAAATCTGGTGCACTCGTATTCATTCTGTATGGTAAATTCAGTTTTTAACGGAGCAGCGAGCTGACGACGAGTTAGAGACTTTTTCTGTCTGTTTCTCTCTTACAAAGCGCATGTTGCAGTCAGAGTCTTCTCTGCGATGCGAGCACGACATACAACACAATTTATCAAATTACACAACGGATACAGTATGAAAATGATGATTGGATTATACTCACGGAAGTATAAACCTTTACATGCGTCTATAAAGTAAGTAACACAAAATGTCAGGGAAATTACTTTACTTAGATTTAAGTACTGCAGTTGTACATTTGAAATACCTTCCTACCTTTCTGATAGGAAGCCTTCTTGAGGTGGTATAAAACATTTTCTTCTTATATTCTGATTTGAGTTGTGGACAAACTATGACCATGAATTAAAAAAATTAACATTTCACTGCCCAAGTCGCTATAACACAAGTCTTGTCATCAGACTACATGCTGTACAGTATTTGTGGACAGATTTTGTCCCAGGATTTCTTATGCATTTCTTCTTCTTCGTTGCATGATTTAGAATAATAAGGTGAGAATGGGTCTATTCTGAGTTCATCCTGCACTGCAGCAGCTAATAAAGTCCATTTAATCCCAAAACGCTTTTCTTTTAGGCAGCTGGAGCAGAAAACAACTCACCTTTCTCAAGTTGTACAGTAATGTCACATGTGTATGAAGGTGGATCAAACAAGCTAATCTTAAATGTCAAAGTAGAGAGGAGCCTAGTAGGCCTATTTATTTTCATTCATACACAATATGAATAAGCTATGCAGACAGTTGTAAAGAAAGAACATCTTTTTCTTCTGTTCTCTACTTGTTATAGTTACACAGTATTAGGGTTGGGCTGTATTAAAGTATCCACTGTTCTCCCTCTCTAACACACGTAACGATGAAATGTGTGCTGTTCTCACATTCTTCCTCTGTATGTACACATAAACAACAAGGCAGGGAAATATAAAAGGAATTTATTTTTATTGTTTGGGTACATTATTGTTCAGTGTACATGCTCACATCTGAAACAAACTTTACGTGCTTGATAACTCTCCCCCCCGCAGACATCTACACGTCAATGATTTATATTCATAGCGGCAAGTGCTATGTAGCTCCACATAGGGGACACAGGAAGTGACATATAGCACATTCATGCGGCGTCGGAACCGCGTAGGAAATTCACGCCCGGCAGAGCTCCAGAATATGCACTCGGCCGGCTCACGCGGACGCGCTTACAAGTGCGAGGGCCCGCCCAACGCTGCTTGCAGCTTTAATTTACTTTATTTTTTGTGTATTTAATTGGAAGCTTATTATTTATTGAGCATTTATTTATTTCTGTATTTATTTCTGACTGTGTCGGATCGGTCCTCCATAGCGGGGTGGAGAGTTATCAAGCACGTAAAGTTTGGTTCAGATGTGAGCATGTACACTGAAGTTACAACACTTCCTGTGTCATGGCGAAGACTTGATCTTTGACGCCACGCCACGGACACACCCATTGACGAAAACTCGCAAATAGCACAACTTTTCATCTTCAATGCCTTTAGAAGGCACAGCACAAATTTGAGGTCGGTCGGACTTAAATCCCTAGGAGGAGTTCGTTAAAGTACGAAGTGTGTAAATCATCCAAAATTTGACGTAAAATTCAAAATGGCCGACTTCCTGTTGGGTTTAGGCTATGGCTCCAAGAGACTTTTTTGTGCGTCTGGACAAGATACACGTACCACAGAAAATTCGTGCACGTAGGTAAACGTGCGGCGGGGCTGCTTCGTTAAAAGTCACTTCCTGTTGCCAGCAGGTGGCGCTATGACTGTGGGTGAATGTCAGCATGTACATGTGTTCAGGCGGGACTCTCATCCTACATGTACAGTTTGGTCCAGATGTGAGCATGTACACTGAAGTTACGACAACTTCCGTGTCATGGCGAAGAGCTGATCTTTGACGCCACGCCACGGACACGCCCATTGACGAAAACTTGCAAATAGCACAACTTTTCATCTTCAATGCCTTTAGAAGGCACAGCACAAATTTGAGGTCGGTCGGACTAAATCCCTAGGAGGAGTTCGTTAAAGTACGAAGTGTGTAAATCATCCAAAATTTGACGTAAAATTCAAAATGGCCGACTTCCTGTTGATTTTAGGCTATGGCTCCAAGAGGCTTTTGTGCGTCTGGACAGTACACGTACCACAGAAAATTCGTGCACGTAGGTGAAACGTGCGGCGGGGCTGCTTCGTTAAAGGTCACTTTCTGTTGCCAGCAGGTGGCGCTATGACTGTGGGTGAATGTCGGCATGTACATGTGTTCAGGGCGGGACTCTCATCCTACATGTACAGTTTGGTCCAGATGTGAGCATGTACACTGAAGTTACAACAACTTCCTGTTTCATGCGAATCATCGACGCCACGGACACGCCCATTGACGAAAACTCGCAAATAGCACAACTTTTCATCGTCAATGCCTTTAGAAGGCACAGCAGAAATTTGACGTTGATCCGACTAAATCCCTAGGAGGAGTTCGTTAAAGTACGAAGTGTGTAAATCATCCAAAAATGGCCATAAAATTCAAAATGGCCGACTTCCTGTTGACTTTAGGCTATGGGTTCTTGAGGCTTTTTTGTGCGTCTTGATAGATACATGTCCCCAGAAAATTTCGTACATGTAGGTTGAACGTGAACGAGGGGCTAATTTTCCAATTTTCTAGGTGGCGCTAGCGAGTCATTTTGCCACGCCCATGTGTGAAACTTGTAGAATACGAAATTTTTCACCGGTTCTGACATGTTTGCAAATTTTGGTGAGTTTTCGAGAATGTTTAGGCCATGTCATTGGGCCTACTTTGCAGAAAAAAAAAAAAAAAAAAATATAATAGATAGATATATATATATATATATATATATATATATATATAATCCGAGCAAATTCAATAGGGACCTCACACGGTCGTGCTCGGGCCCTAATAAAATAGGCCAAATTAGTGCCAAATCTTAAATCAATGTCTACTAGATATTTCATCAGCTCCCCCTCATATTTCAGTATGACAGGTGCGCAGTCTTTTATACATGAGGCCCCAGGTGTTTGGACAGTCAAGATAATGTTCATGTGATCTTTCAGTATGTCTGACTGATATTCAAAGTTAAAGTGTTTCCACATGTTGAAGCAGTGAACACGAGGCTCTAATATAAAAACACTCAAATTCCAAAACACAGGAGGAAACGTGAAAAGAGGGAACACGTGCTGCGCTGTAAAAAACTAAAGAACAAACTGGCAACAGCATTTCTCTATGGTCAACGGCGTCCACAAACTTTTGGCCATATACTTCATCTTCCAGCTGAATCCTGTCAGTAGTCCTGAGCTGAGAAAGACAACAAACACACTCACAGTAACATTCTGCTTTTATTGGAACAAGAGCCAGAATTCAAAGCAACACATGACAGAAGGTCCAAGTCAACGGCATTTCCACCATTTAATAATCAGAGCTTCCATCTTTAAAGGACTGGAAGTGGAAGAAGTTTACATGGAAATGAGGAATCTGTTCAATCACTTTGTACAAAGTTCATTGATGGATTTATTACAAGAAGCTGAAAGATTTCTGTGATCCTGTACAGACTCAACTGATCTGTCTCTAACAGGAGGAGACTCTCCCTCCTGCACAGAACACAGAGACACTGAGGAACCAGAACCAGACAACCAGAGCCCAAAGCCAGGAAAAAGTGGTTCAGTGAATGTGGTGTTGAAGGTGTGGAGGTGGATCAGTGTGTCAAAGGAGACTCTGTAGAAGGACAGGGAGCCAGCAGGACAGTCCACATACACTGCTACTCTACCAGAGGAGGAGGAGGAGGAGGAGGAGGAGGAGGAGGAGAAGGGGGAGGAGGAGGAGGAGGAGGTGGTGGATGTTTCTCTCTTATTGTGACAGACAGAGTAATAACCATCAGAGCAGCTCAGACTCCAGGACTGATCATTCCTTCCAAACCAGCAGTCTATACTGCCTCCTCTCCTTCTGATTCCTCTGTAACTCACTGATATTTCAACTCTTCCTCTCCACTCGACCTCCCAGTAACAGCGACCAGTCAGACCATTTCTACACAGCAGCTGCTTCCAGTAGTCAAACCTCTCTGGATGATCAGGATATGACTGATTCTCATTCACAAGTGTCGCCTTCCTGTTGTTGTCAGACAGTTTAATGTTTCTGTTGACTGTATTTGTGTCGATTGTGAGTTCACAGGAATCTGATGGAGAGAACGAGACACAATACAGCGGCAGTTATTGATCTATCATCTATTCATTGATTGACGCTTTGAATGAGTGATGTCACAGTCTGAAGATGGTTGAATGTGTGCGGCTTTGTTTTCATGAATCAAATGAAAAAACACACTTACACTTCCTCAGACCTGGTCTCAACCATCGGACTCCAGCAGGCTCCACCCTGAAAAGAGGAGGGGGGTCAGACCAGCACATCCTCTTTCAGCATCAAACGTGGACATTACATTCCTCTCATACACATATACACATTATGTACATCCGGCCCCCTCATCCGCCTCACGGTGGTTTGCTCTGCTGCTTACCTTTTTTCCCTCTCCTCTTGCACCGTGTGAGAAGTGAGATTAGTTATTATGGTTAAAGGGATGCTGATTGACTCTCCTGCTCTTTGTTAGTGTAAGTGTCACATGACATGGAAGCTACTCAAAATAAATTTTTGGGAAAAATATTAATCTAAAATAGACAAAGCCCTCAAATACAACCAAAATAGGTTTGTCCAGAGTAGTACTACAATTCGGCTTTGGTTTGTAGTCCCTGGGTAACATGACCTGGAAACTATTGAAAATAAATGCTAATGTTTCCATAAAAATATTAATATAAAAGGATTTTTATACGTAGTTTTTCAGACTCAAATACAAAGATCCACAGTTATGAGCCATGAACTAATCATTACTATTTCCTGTATTGACTCCTGTACATGACTGAAACAACCCCAGACCCAACTCCACGGGCACTGGAAGCAAAAAATATGTGGGTGGATTTTCCCCCCAAAATGTATATATACAAAATATATTACGGGTGGGTCCAATTCCGCTCACAACACAGCACTGAAACAGTCCTCCTCAATATAACCAATATCCAATATCCTCCTCTCTGCCGACTCCGGTCACCTCACCATCCTAATCATGCTCGACCTCACTGCAGCCTTCGACCCCATCAACCACTCCACTCTTCTCTCCCGACTGGAAACCTACTCCAATATTACTGGCACTGCACTCTCCTGGCTCCGCTCCTACCTTACCAACAGATAACAGTTCATCAACAACTGCACCTCCTCCACTGCTCCTTTGTCACCAGGCATCCCCCAAGGTTCGGTACTTGGTCCTCTCCTGTTCATCATTTACATCCTGCCACTCGGTAACATCATACGTAGATATGGTCTCCACTTCCACTGCTATGCCGATGACGTCCAGATCTACATCTCCATCAAATTCATCACCACAGTTACCTCTGCAACTCTGACCAGCTGCCTCACTGACATACAAACCTGGATGCAAACCAACTTCTTAAAGCTCAATTACAATAAATCTGACATGCATCGGCCCCAAATCACTCACAAAAAACACAAATAACTTCAGCCTCTCCATCAACAACTCCACCCTGTCTCCATCCCCACACATCCACAACCTTGGAGTCATCTTTGAAAGCAACCTCACTTTGAACACCACATCAACCATTTCACCAGGACTGCCTTCTTTCACCTCAAAAACATCGCCCGTCTCTGCCCATCACTCACCTTCTCTGCTGCCGAAACCCTGATCCACGCCTTCATTACATCCAGAATTGACTATTGCAAAAGCATCCTTTATGGTTCACCTGCCAAAGCCCTAAATGAACTTCAATATATCCAATATATCCCTCCATAACAAGGCCCCTTCCTGCCTCACACAGACCTGCTCCACCACCACAATCCCTGCCGCAACCTCCGCTCCTCTGACACTAACCTCCTCTCACCACAAATCAGGACCAAGCACCGTACCTGGGGGGACAGAGCTTTCACCATTGCAGCCCCCTCCCTCTGGAACTCCTTACTCATACACATCCGAGATTGCATCCACATGGACTCTTTCAAATCACGTATCAAAACCCACCTTTTTAGACTAGCTTTTAACATCAAATAATGTTATATTACATTACATTAATTATAAGGTCGGCACTTGCTCTCATGTATTTCTGCACCACATGTTTGTATATTTCATATTATTCTATTTATGTTTTCAATCTGTTTTAAATGTACATAACTTCTGCTTTCACCTGTAAAGTGTCTTTGAGTGTCCTGAAAAGCGCTATAGAATATAATATATAATTATTATTATTATTGTTTCATTGGCCAGTTGGCCTGTCAAGTCTGAGTGTGTGGCTCCACTACATGAATATACACTATGGAGCGTATCATGTGACGACTCATTCAACAGCGTGAGTATGGATGGATTATTGGGTCTGAATTAAAACTAAAAGTCTAAAACTAAAAAGTCTAAATTGAAAACTAAAAGTCTAAATCAAAAATGCATTTGGTATTTAGGATTGGGCATGTAGTATTTAGAATTGGGCATTTGGTATTTAGGATTTGTCATGCCTCCTGGACCTTGATCCCATCTGGCGACAGTGTGTGAGTGATTTTTGATTTGTTTTCTGCCTTTTGAGTGTTTGCTGTGTGCTTGGTGGGTTTTGGTTTTTGTCTCTCTTCCCTTCCTTGTTCCCTAGAGCTTGGGGGACGTGGTCTCCGGGTCCTCACGGCTGTGACACACCTGTTCCCCGTCGGGATCAATGCACCTGTTTGGTATTGCCTCATCACCACTCCCTATTTAACCCTGGCCAACTCTCCAGTCCTCACCGGATTGTTGTGTAACCACAGTATGTGTCACACCAGCCTCTGATCGCTAAGTCTTGTCTAGTTAATCCTGTGTTCCTGTTTGCCAGCTGAGGAGAATTATTTGCCTCGTCTCACCTGCCAGCTCCCACTGCTTCTCCCTAACCTAAGGAACCCGGACCTAGCCCTGTTCCCCCTCAGCTTACTATTCTCTCTGTTATTTTCTAATAAAACTATTCTATTCACCTCCGGCTCCAGTCTGCTCTAGGGTTCAGTTACCAGACCTGACAGGATTGGGCATTCGGGCTTTAGGATTGGGCATTTGGGCATTTACGATTTAGTATTTGAGCATTTAAAATTGGGAATTTGGGATTTAGGATTGAGGAGTGTGTGCAAATAAGGGGTCATGGCCCAAAGACTGGTGGCTGGGTTTGAAACAGCTGGTGCGCAGAGGCACCTTTAAAAGGTTAAGTGTGTAGGTTCTAGTGACAGCTAATGGTGAGGGTTGCGAATTGCACCCCCCGTCTCCTAACCAAGTGAGCAGTATAGCTATGGTGCCTGAGACAGGACAAATATGTCATCTATGAGATAAAAGAGATTGCCAGTCAAGAAATGTGGTTTCTTTAGATAGATGTGCTAAGAATTTATATAAATTATGTAAAACCATGTTTTTTTTCAATATTAGTGTTACTTGTTCACATGGTCCAATAGGACCAAAACTGTGAATTGAACTGGAATTTGTCAAACATCTCGTGATTCTCTAGGAAAAGGGTTTTTCTAGAATTTTTGACATGAATGGAAGTTTGGATATCGGTCTGTAGCTCTTAGGTTGTAATAGATCCAAGATGGGCTTTTTAAGTACAGGCTTAACAACAGCATGTTTAAAAAAACAAGTAACACCACCAGTTAAAAGTGAAGTTTTAAGCAACTCCACAATACAGGGGCCAATAAAATCAAAGCTTGTACAAATAGCACTGTAGGGAGAACATCCATAGAACAAGATGAGGGTTTCAATGTATGTAGCAGAGACATGATGTCATGTAATATCATAGGTTTAAAAGAGGACCAAGAATGAGCTGGAGACAAGTCACAGGCAGAGTTCTGAGAAAGTGAGTGCACGTGCAGTCGATCTTGACTACCACCTGCATACAGCATGCTAGCCTCGAAAAACCCAAGTGTTTTCTAACATTAATTTATCTCTTAATCTTGTCGGCTGTATTCAGTTGTTTCGAAGCAACGCTTTTATCAAGTTGAAGTTATCATATTATTGTATAGTCCTCCCTCAGCCCTGTTCACTCACTCTGTTTGGTTTCATTGCAGTGTGCTCTTTAACAGTCAGAGCTACCCCTGCTGACCATAAGGTGCCTCTGCGCACCAGCTGTTTCAATCCAACCTCTCGTATTTGGGCCCACCCCCTTATTTGCATACACTCCTCAATCCTAAATACCAAATGCATTTTTGATTTAGATTTTTAGTTTTAATTCTGACCCAATAATCCCTCCATAATCCCAAAGCTCACCGCGGGACATCAACTTGTGTAACATTCACTTCGCCTGTCTCTCTCTGTGACCCCCCCATAAAGCAGTCATCCTCATCCTCCAAAGAGACTGTTTAATATTAATCATGTTGGATTTTTATTTCTTATTTCATAGGCCATTTGGGATTTTGGGAGTAAGGCATATATAGTTAGTTTAAAAAACACAGCATTTGAAAGCTTTAAAACTTTCAGGTCAGCCTAGTATACAGTTTATACACTCTTCCCTGAGGAAATCAGGGCAGCTGAGTCAATTAACTCTTAAGTTCCTTCTTAAAACATACTTTCCTGATTTAGTTGACTTTAATATTATTTTTTTCTTTTAACTGTATTTTAAATTTCATAACTTTCTTCCTGCTTTTGCCATGCATCTTATTTTGTT